CACTGAAGGGCCGTGAAATGGAATTCAATCGTAATTTTTATTAAGCATAGGCACCTTAATAAACAAANATAAGTTATCAAAACACATTTCCGTTAGTCACGTATTATTGAGGAACACTTTGATTCATCTTTCACTGAAGGGCCGTGAAATGGAATTCAATCGTAATTTTTATTAAGCATAGGCACCTTAATATACAGAAACGCAATTAGATCGCACACAGCTTTATACACAATACCCAATTAAAGGTGTTCATATAACTTGAAAAAGAAACAAGAAATTAATTCCGAAAACTGTAATTATTAAGCTTCAACACATCCCCGGAACAACGTCTTTCATTGATATCCTAAGATGACTTACAATCACATACAGACCCAACGATTTCTTCGTTCGATACTAGTTCCATAGTTTAGTTAGCTCCAGTGTATTACGAACTTATAAAACATGGTTCATTATAATATTAAGGTAAGAACATCATACTCTATTCCTGAAGATGCTTTGAGAGAGCGAAATGTACATTGAGCAATGGCATATTTTCATATGAAATGTCTAAAGGGGCAGAATTGTAAGGGCAACAGATATTTGCTGATGCGACTAATTTCATAAGTGAAAGTAGTGTGAACGTTGATATGTCCACCATGTAGTTTTTAATTGTAAATTGTATATTTACTCGTTTTATTTATATGATTATCTGATTTCAACTATTTATTCTTATTTATTATTTTATTTATACTCTACTTGCTTTTCAATTCGAAAATGAATAATTATTTCGTTGAAGACATTATAGATCTTTATCTCAGTTTAAATAAAATACATATTAAAAGAAATATTGTGCTAACATGTATCCATTAACACTGCATTGTAACAGCAGTTTTTTAAACTGGGAAAGGAATTAACCCCTAAGAATCGCAAAGATTATCTGCATGAACTATGATCGCGGAGTAGCGAGAAAGAGTTAGTGCGAGGAGTGTACTGTGGGTATTGATCCCATGAGTCCAACTGTGAGACAAAGGTGCCACCAAGTCAACATTGTTGTGGATCAATGAGTAATTAGTGGGTACAATTAGTGTTGCTCAGTAACGAGCAAGTCCGATTACAGGTGCATGTTGAGATGACCCAACAAGGTGTGCCCCATAATTAGTAGGTCCAACAACTGAAGCATGTTGAGATTGTTCAACAAGGGTTGCTCCATAGTTAGTAGGTCCAATAACTAAAGCATATTGAGTTGGTCCAATAGTAGTTGCACCATGGTCAAAAGGTCCTACTGCAGGAGCATGATAAGATAGTCGAAGGAGAGATGCTCCATGTTCAACTGGTCCAATAACAGAAGCAACATGAGATGTTCCAACAAGAATAGCACCATGATTAACTGATCCAGCAAAAACACCATTTCTCGATGGTCCATACAAACGAGGCGAACATTCATTCATAATTCAACTTTCCAGCCAAAGCAAAGCAGTATTTATCCAGAAACTCAAACCAGCGTATATCGTGGGAGATAAACAACACACTCAAGCTACCCCTGCAAAGAAGAAGATGGACGACATGCTAACGGGCTTCTGAACATCATTCATTACTGAAAGGAGGGTCCCGTGGGAACACACGGTATAGCAATATAACAATTTAAAAAACTATAAGGGATTCATTTGTGCCAGCATAAGAAAATCGCTAAATGCAGAATTGTGTCCAACGATATTATATAAAACCATTCTATTTAGAACCACAATTCTCGCTAGTCATTAGACGACTACAGTACAATTTTACAATAATCACATCTAATAAATATGTCATTGATTGGATGCTATAGCAAAATAGATAACCCTCAATCAACTTTTCGAGATATTACAATTGCTTTCACAATATCAAATGAACTCTGCCTACTCTGTAGGACTCCACATTTAAAACACGATAGCAGAAATGAGCGCCATTTCTTGCATACTGCATGCAATAACCATCGTAAATAACAGTTTATTTAAAAACGAGTAAATAATTTTCTAATGCTTTATTTATCAAAAATAAAAGAAAAACAAATTAAAATAAATACTGTATCCGGCGTGCATTCATTAGATTGTTAAATACAACCGTTATAACTGAAACGTAGTTTCGAGCAGGTATTCTGCATTATAACGGCAGTTTTTCGAGCATGCAAGCATATTCTTTTAACCCCTAATGATCGCAATTGTCATCGACATGTGAAGTGATGTAGGAAGAGTGGGAAAGAGTTGGAGCAAGAAGCAATGTGCTGTGGGCATTGGCTTCATGAGTCCAACTGTGAGACAAAGGTGCTACCAAGTGAGCACTGTGGTGGATCAATCCGTGATGAGATGGTGCAATAAGTGTGGCTCCATGGTACGCAGATCCAACAAGAGATGCGTGATGGGATGGTCCAACAAGGGTTGCTCCATGGTGAGCGGGTCCTACTACTGAAGCGTGGTGACTTGGTCCAACAAGGGTTGCTCCATGATGAGCCGGTCCTACTACTGAAGCGTGGTGAGTTGGGCCAACAAGGGTTGCTCCATGGTGAGCGGGTCCAACGACTGAAGCGTGGTGTGTTGGTCCAACAAGGGTTGCTCCATGATCAATTGGTCCTACAACAGATGCATGATGAGAGGGTCCAACAAGGGTTGCTCCATGGTGAGCGGGTCCTACTACTGAAGCGTGGTGACTTGGTCCAACAAGGGTTGCTCCATGATGAGCCGGTCCTACTACTGAAGCGTGGTGAGTTGGGCCAACAAGGGTTGCTCCATGGTGAGCGGGTCCAACGACTGAAGCGTGGTGTGTTGGTCCAACAAGGGTTGCACCATGGTCAACTGGTCCGACTAGGGAGGCGTGGTGAGATGGTCCAACGAGTGTAGCACCGTGGCTCACAGGTCCAGCAAGCACACCATGGCTAGATGGTCCCACAATTGTGTTATGTCCATGACCGTGAGCAAGAAGAGGAGCAGCTATTATACCATGAGCTTCATGATCACCGTGATCTTGGCTTTCCCAAAGTCCTTCTCCATGCCATTGGCCGTCATCATGACCATGGTGTCCCAAGAGAACACCAGCATTAGCAAAAGTTGCTAAACAAACTACGGCAATCTACAAAATAAGATTAAAAGGCATATAGAATATTCTATCACTAAAGTGAAATCCACTGAACAAAAAGATCTGCTAATACGTACAAATCTTGTGGTTCTTGCTCTTTTGCTGTTTTTAAAGCAATTTTGTTTATTTATACTTATAGCAACTATTTCTCTTCACTAATATTGAAAACTGATTATATCAGGTATTGTTTTAATGAACCTTAAAATTTATAAATATCTTACCAAAAATTTCATTTTGGAAGTTGTTGGTGTAACTGATAAAGATCCACTGATAACTAAGGACGCTTCACTCTACTATTTATATGTTTAATGTTGACCTTCGACACGAGTGAGATCATCACCTCCCGGCGATAAAAAATCCAGTCGTTATTTTGGAACTTCACTTTCTCCTTATCAAACACACCTAGGTACTCGTCAATAAGCTCCCTCAGTTTATAATTCATCAACAAGTGCTTTTGAAATTCTTTCGCTTTAAACACATAATTGTTGTCAGTGTATTTTATCATAGCAGGGCTTGTAATAGCCTTATTCGGTGATCTCTTTCGGCGAAAAATAAATCGCAGAAAGTTTTATTTGTAACTATTTAATTTTTTCTATAAGCACATAATATATATAGATATAGTATATGTAGGCATTGAATAGTTTCTTAAATCTTGCAAAAGCTGGAAAATAAAAAAAAATTAAATTAAAAACGTAAGATTTGCCTGATATCACCTAAACGCTTACTAATAGGACGTAATCTCAAATAAGGAGTAGAAAGGGTGGCTCTTTGGTGTTTTAGTAGTATTAGACAAGAGAGGGAAAACCCTTCCTGAAACTATCTTTGGCAGGATCAAATATCTTTGAAACTGTCAATGTGTTTTACAATTGTAGTTTAATTATTTTTTTAAGCAAATAATAGAGATGAAAAATAACTTCTCTCTTTTCCGAACTCAAACAATTGTAAGATTCTAAAACAAACTCTAATTTTCTAAGTGACGTCGCCTTCTAATTGCATAATGACAATTACAAACATTACCATTTACTGAAGCAACTAAAGTAGTACGTAGTTTACCTATCTATTGCCGGAAGTCAAATCGCATATCCTGTTTTTAAATTACATACATAGCAGTTTTTGATTAGTGTTTCATTTGTCGTAGTCGAAATGCACAAATAAAGTCGTTTAAAAGTATAGATAAACTGTTTAGTATTTTTTAAGCAAAAAATAAAGATGAAAAATAACTTTTCTCTGTGCCGAACCCAAACAATTGTATGATTCTAAAACAAACTCTATTTTGCGAATGTTTGAAAACATCCAAAGATTGCGAAATATGGGATAAAGCTATTTCCAACTTCTAACTGAACTTAACTGACCGAGAGTTCTTCAAAAAGTTTTACTATTGACAAAAGCTCCACTGATCCACTTAACAATACAAGCGATTAAAAGGGATCATCTCCAAAGCCCACGCATAGATCATCATAAAAATTATACCTAACATCATTTGTTCTTTAATCTGAATATTATTTTAGTTATTAACTATCTTCAGTGAAGTTATTATTATTCGATATTCCTTCATTATATTCATATAGGTAGCTTAGAATAGTTTTCTAATTACATTTATAATTAAAAAATGTAGGTAGAGCACTTAGACCGAAAATGTAAAAGAAAAAATGCCACTAATATTATCCAGCTGTTTTTGATTGCTCAATAATATAATTTACAGAAAATAATGGATATTGATCGTAATGTGAAAGTAAATTAACAATAAGTTATCAAAACACATTTCCGTTAGTCACGTATTATTGAGGAACACTTTGATTCATCTTTCACTGAAGGGCCGTGAAATGGAATTCAATCGTAATTTTTATTAAGCATAGGCACCTTAATAAACAAAAACGCAATTAGATCGCATACAGCTTTATACAAAATGCCCATCAATGGGCATGTTCGTGACCGTGGGAAACAAGAGGAGCAGCAATTATTCCATGAGTTTTGTGATCGCCGTGCCACTGGCTTTCCAAAAGTCCTTCTCCGTGCCATTTTCCATCATCTTTGCTAGGGTGTCCCAAAAGAATACCAGCATTAGCAAGGGTTGCCAAACAGGCTACGACAATCTGGATAACAAGATTAAAGTAGAAAATTGTATCAATGAAGAATACACAACTGAACAATGGGAAAAGTTTGAAAGGCTGTGAATGAAAACAATGCAATTCTTGTTCTATTGAGATTTTTAAAAAATATTAATTAGATCGATTTATACACAATGCTCAATTACAAGTATACATACAGCCTAAAAAGGAAACAAGAAATCAATTCCGAAAAATGTAATTATTAAGCTTCAACACATCCCCAGAACAACGTATGTCATTGATATCCTAAGATAACTTACAATCGCATACAGACCCAACCGTCTCTTCGTTTGATAATAGTTCCATAGTTTAGTTAGCTTTAGTTTATTGTGAACTTATAAAACGGTATATTATTATATAAAGGTAAGAGCACAAAGTAAGTCAACTAATACTTAATCATACTCATACTCCTGAAGATGTTTTTTGAGAGCGAAATGTACATTGAGCAATGGCATATTTTCATCTGAAATCCCTAAAGGGGCGGAATTTCATAATTCAATGAAAATTTTTAACTGTGAACGTTGCTATGTCCACCATGTGGTTTTTAATTGTTATTATTTCCTGATTTTAACTATTTATTCTTATTTATTATTTTATTTATATCATACGTGTTTTATTAATGCCAATTAGTTATAACATGTGCTTTTTTTCGATACAAGCAACTGTTTGTCTTATATACTGTATTAACCCCTAAACCTATCCTTGAGAAAACCTTAAGACCTAGGCAAAACGTTGGATTTCGTTTAATAATAAATAAAATCTGATTTAAACATATTCATAAAGGAATGTCTGTATTTTCGGGGATTCCTAAAAACTATAGAAGTGTCTCCTAACACAGCCCTCTAATTAACTTAAAAACTTACGAAAAGAGAGGTTGAAAATATAAATATCGCATTGGGCATATTTTCTTTACGTCGAACTGTACGTTGAAAAATTAATTTTGGTTTCCGTATTTATAGTTTAAATTGGACGATATGGTGACAAGGTGGGCTCTAGCAAACGCGAATTAAAAACCCTCAATCAACTTTCTAACATTATAACAGAGCTTTCGACAAATTCTAGCTTCTAGAGCTATACTTTACAGTAGTTTTTGATAACATAAATATTGACTTTAACAGTCCTTTCTTGAAAATTTCATTTGCTTTACTACAGTAAAATTGTAGTTGCTTTTCAAATCGGAAATGAATTATAATTTCGTTGAAGACATTACAGCTCTTTATCTCAATTAATTTGACTAGCTGCATAATAGAATAATAACAATAACATGTTCNAACAGTCCTTTCTTGAAAATTTCATTTGCTTTACTACAGTAAAATTGTAGTTGCTTTTCAAATCGGAAATGAATTATAATTTCGTTGAAGACATTACAGCTCTTTATCTCAATTAATTTGACTAGCTGCATAATAGAATAATAACAATAACATGTTCATTTTGCAATAAGTATTGGTACTTTATTTATTAAAATAATATACATGTTAAAACAAATATTGTGCTAACATGTATCCATTCATTCTGCATTATAACTGCAGGAGAGATAATTGTATTAACTCCTAATAATCGCAAAGATCATCAACATGGGCTACGATTGCGGAAGAGCGAGAAAGAGTTGGTGCAAGGAGTGTACTGTGAGTATTGATCCCGTGAGTCCAACTGTGAGACAAAGGTGCTACCAAGTGAGCATTGTCGTAGCTCAATCCGTGATAAGAGGGTGCAATTAGTGTTGCTCCGTGACCAGCAAGTCCGATTACAGAGGCGTGTTGAGATGGTCCAACAAGTGTTGCTCCATAGTTAGTAGGTCCAACAACTGAAGCATGTTGAGATGGTCCAACAAGTGGTCCAACAACTGAAGCATGTTGAGATGGTCCAACAAGTGTTGCTCCATAGTTAGTTGGTCCAACAACTGAAGCATGTTGAGATGGCCCAACAAGTGTTGCTCCGTAGTTAGTAGGTCCAACAACTGAAGCATGTTGGGATGGTCCAACAAGTGTTGCTCCATAGTTAGCAGGTCCAACAACTGAGGTATGTTGAGTTGGTCCAACAAGGGTTGCTCCATAGTTAGTAGGTCCAACAACTGAAGCATGTTGAGTTGGTCCAATAAGAGTTGCACCATTGTCAACTAGTCCTACTACAGAAGCTTGGTGAGATGGTCCAATGAGAGTTGCTCCATGTTCAACTGGTCCAACAACTGATGCAGCATGAGATGGGCCAACAAGAGTAGCACCATGATTTACGGGTCCAGCAAGAACACCGTGGGCAAGAAGAGGGGCAGCAATTATTCCATGAGTTTTGTGATCGCCGTACCACTGGCTTTCCAAAAGTCCTTCTCCGTGCCATTGTCCGTCATCTTTGCCATGGTGTCCCAAAAGAATACCAGCATTAGCAAGGGTTGCCAAACAGGCTACGGCAATCTAGATAACAAGATTAAAATGGAAAATTGTATCAATAAAAAAATATACAACTGAACAAAGGGAAAAAGTTTGAAAGGCTGCAAACGTTCTATTGAGATTTTTAAAATATATCAGTTATTGCTACCTATATGACCTGTTTCACTTCTAAATTATTGAAATTAACAACATTTAAAAATCTTACCAAAAACTTCATATTGCTGTTTATATCTTCCACCGATACAGATCGAATGATATCTAAGGTTGATTTACTATACTATTTATATGTTTAATATTGACCTTCGACGGAAGTGAGATCTTCACCTCCAAGCGATAAAAAAATTATTCTTTAATATGGGAGTTTACTTTCTCCTTCTACTTACTCATCAACAATCAAGCTGATATTATTAAATATCAACAAATGGTTTTTAAATACGTGCGCTTTATTATTAGTGTACCTTAATAAATTAAAGTTTATATTAATCTTGTTGCTATTTTTGACGATAAAAAGCAAATTACAAAAATTGTATATTTTGTAATTTTTTTACTTAATATTGTAACTCTTTGATGACCAACGTCATGACCAAAACATGTCAGAGTTTTTCTAGAGTAAAAATTTCACATGTTTTTTTAATTTTCTAATTATTAAACAATACTACTTAGCCAAGAGATTAACGAAAATACAACCGCGATAGTTTTTACAAGACAATTCCTTAAACTTTATAAAATATTTTATAGATCACTTACAAATATGAAATTTCTTAACTAGAAAAATAGACAAGATTGGTCTTTATGGCTTATATATATTAAACAGGAAAGGATGATTCTTACTGTAAGTGTCCTTGTGATGATCAAACATCTTAAAAATTAGCAAACTATTTTACTACTAGAATTCAACGCATTACAATTAGAATTTAACGCATTAAATAATGTAGTTTCCATAACAAATTTATTTTTCTCAAGTTTATTTTCCAAAAAACTGTAAAACAAAACAGGAAAGCAAAAATTTCTTCCCTCTTTTAACTGAACTCGGATGACCGAAAATTTTTAAAACGTTTATCCTAAAAATAACTCCACTAAACGTTATAAAACAATTGAAAGAAGTATCCCTAAGCTGACAATTTGATAAATGCTTTCGCAGCTAATCTAATTCAGGCCTAAACGCCGTCATCGGTGACTTCTTCAGAGATTTTTCATTTCCGATGCTGGGATGTGCAGTCCACATTAAGAAACAACAATCGGCGACGTCCTTTAGGCCTGAATAAAAACATCAGCATCACTTATCTCTAAGCTTATGGTCATCGAATTAAACATATCCAATTGTCCAATATATGTAAGTTTTATTATTGAAATATACTTTTACAATACTTCATAGAAGACTTCAATGTATATGCCGAGATAGAATCGTTAGCACAAAGTAAACCTGCATCAACAATCAGTCCCTTCGACTTGCACTTATTACAAAGCCAGAAGGTAAGGCAGAAAGTCCTTTGTCCAAATAATTCAATAAAACCACGACAAAACTTGGACGACGTCAAGCGGTCCACTAGCCCTCTCACTCGGGTGAAAATACTATTTGAGTCTTTTGTATGGAATTAATCTCATCAAAAATAAATTCGTCAAGGATCAGACCTGACAGTCGGTGTAGGGTTGAAGGTCGAAAGCTGCTAGTTCTCTTGTCTACTTCAGATCACAAGTAAAGTTAAAGGATAAATATTCGATAATTGAATAATGTCGATGCGATGCGTATATTAGGCTCGGTGTAGGTTTTGTTATGTGATTTTATTTGTTGTACGTCGTTTATTAAATTAATGGAAATTTCTGATTGCCACTATGGAATAGTACTTAATATAAATATTCCAAGGCGGCCAGATCAATTGTAGGGGCCAAACATCCCCGAGACACAATCAAAATGTCGCTGTAGTATAAACGCAAGGGCGATAATTAGATGGCTTTATGTCTGACGGATGTTTGGCCTTTGGGCCTTACAATTGCTCTAATAGTTTACAAAAAGTATTGAAATAGTTCCATAAATATCATATTTAAAAATGAAGACTCAGACTTATTTTTTGCGAACTTTGAAGCGTCTGACAGAAATTAGCGCCGATGGAAAGTATATGGCATCATCATTATCATAAAGTCCTAAGACTGATTGGACACTTACCTCCACTCTTTGCTACTGAGCTAAACTTCGCATTTCCCTAAAACTAGAACAACCCATATCTTTAACTATTTGCGAACAGTAATCTAACCAAGGTCTACCTCTACCCCTCCTAACTCCTGTTTCTGCCTGTAATATGTCTCTGACTTGACCTTCATGCGTGAGAAGGTGTCCTACCAACCTATCTCGCCTATTTTTTACTGCCTTCCATAGAGTCCTCTGTTCTCCTATTCTTTCCAATACCTCTTCATTTCTAACCTTTCCTTCCCACATTATCCTCATCATTCGCCTATAACACCACATTTCGAATGCTTCTAACCTTTTCTTTTCCGCCGCACCCACTGTCCATGTTTCGCACCCGTACAACGCCGCGCTCCAAACATACACGTTTAACAATCTTTTTCGAATTTCTAAATTAACCGTTCGCGAGCATAGAAGTGGCTTCTTTTTATTAAAGGCGACAGGACCCTGCGCTATCCTCTGCTTTACATCCCTACTACTTCTTCCGTCCTGACTTATCTGACTTCCTAGATATCTAAAATCAGCCACTTCTTCTAATTTTTCGTCTCTTGTCTGTATATTCGCTCTTTCCCTACTTTTTCTTCCCTTGCATACCTGTATTTTAGTTTTACTTTTATTTATTTTCATACAGTACTAAAGTATGACAGTGTGGATTATTATTTTTTAACAATATTCTATGAAACATTATCTGTAACTCAGCATTTAAACTTTAAGAAGCTAATAAAATACTATAAACACTACTCTATCCCATCCATTTTATTACTCAGAAAATACATAATGTCTGGCGGCTCCAGGATATTGCTGTAATATGCTTTTACCTGAACCGTCCCATCCCCCAATTTTAACTGCCCTCTATCTGCGACTCAATTAAAATAATACTCAATGCCTGATGTGGTGACTGATTGTGCTACACCAAATCGATAAATGCAAAATACAGTACAGTAACTGAATGATTTTTGAGTCCAATGTTGCAATATAGTCACATTTGACTAACTTGAAAAATACCTTATCCATTTCATAAACTGGACAAAAAGAATGCCCTGATAGTGAAATAAAATAAAAAAAGGGGCGAGCGTGTATTAGTGTACATGTGTAAGAAATAAAACTTTTTTTAGATTGTATATATTAACTAATTAGTAAACACCAGGAAAATACAAATTTATTTCGAGCGGACGAATGCAGAATACTGGTTTAGTTTTGTTAAAACCTTTTACGCTTGCACCATACAAAACCGCAGAGGGTACTTACAAATCAAAACAAACACAAACGCATATGCAATACATATACAGTACAGCGAAGGCGCGACCTGCTGACAATTTATCGAAATGGGAATTTTAGTATAATCGGTTGCTACTAACAAGTGTACTTCTGTAGCCTGTTAAAATGACTTCTTTTGGACATACCCACCAGGGGTCATACATAGCGCGTGGCGCGTGACGTTACACTTTTCGGTTTTATACCCTAGTAAATTTCCTTGATTACGACAAGTGGGTGCAACATTCGTATACATACCTACAAAGCATGTGCACTAATAAATGTTTGGAGTTGGTTTCTAATTAAATAATGAGTAAAAAAGTCGGTAACATTTAGTCGAAAAGGAAGAAGAAAAAACATTTCTCGGCTGTTTCAGTAATTCAATAATACCTGTCATTTATTAGATATGATATTAATCGTAATGTAAAAGTCAATTAACAATAAGTTATCAAAATACCTTTCCGTCAATCATTTAGGAATACACTGGTTCATCTTTCACTGTAATAAGGTCACGAAAAGGCATTCAACCATAAGTTATTTTTGGTATGTTTAGTAAACAATAATGTAATTACATTGGACCGTCGTTGTTGCGCAAGTTTGTACGTACAACAATTAGTAATATGTGAAGTAAATGACAATAGGCAATGAATTCCGAAAGGTTTATTCCTATTTTATCGAACATTCCACATTATTCTTTAGATTAAGTATCACAAAACTAAGGATAACTAAGTAACGTAATAGTTAACCCTTTTGGAAGAATTTTTGACCTAGTCTTCATAAAGATAAGTTATATTCCTCTCATTTTAAATACAAATCTGTTACATCGCATTAAAGCATTATGATGAAATGACAATAAATATACTCATCAAGAGTTGTTACCCTTTTATTAACAAAAAGCTTCTAATAGAGCTAAAATTGAAATATCCTGCTTTTAAAAAATTACATGTAACATGTAACCACATGTTTCACCATTTTTAATAATAAATTTATACTATTGATTCTTTGTAAAACATTACCTATAAATAGAAACAACCAAATTTCTTTTTAAATGTTCACTATAATATACTATTGCCTCTGCAATAATTGGTTTGGCCTATTGAACCTTCTTCAAGATTATCTTAGACACTAAAAGATACTCATGAAAAAACAAAAATAAAACCACTGTTTCACAAAAATCAGTTTAAAACCTGAGTAACTCATATTGTTTCAGTTTGGCAATACCTATAACTCTACAAGATACCATCTTTTATTAGTAGAAGGCAGTTGAATAAGAAAATAAGGATTAAACGATTATAGGTATAAAAAAAATCAATTATTATTACATGTTTTACTAATGAAATATTAATATAAACTACAAATAGCACACAATAAACATAAAATTGTTAGGACTGCTACAAATTTTTCATTTAAAATAATCAGTGCAAAATGACAATACGTTTAAACAAATACCTAACATTGTAGGAAATTCTGAAGAAGGTTAATAGTAATTCAAAACCAGAAAAGTATTTTAGAACAACTGCTTCAAGTATCACTGGCTGAAATATTAGAAAAGTACTTAAATAGATATATCGAATACTTTCAGTCAAACGTTTTACAGATTTGTTATAACCTAATGTAACCATATCATTTTATAAAGCTAAGAAGATAATTGCGTTTTCAAACCTAGTACCAACGACGTTGGTTATGTATTTTCAGAATGTTTTTTCCGCAATATTTTTCTCCATGCATATTTATAGATAAATGTAAATATATTTTTAAAGTAAAAGTGTTAATTGGTAATAAATTGGTGTTGGTGTAAATTTTGATGCTCGAAAGGTAAGTATGTATATTTCCAAATTAAAAAATCAATTTCTGATAGCTTACGGGTGACGATCTCACTTATGTCGAAGGTCAATATTTAATGTATAAATATCAAAGGCATACTTCTCACAGACATCAGTTAGTTGATTTACAATCTATCAAACAAACAACCACCAAACATGAAATTCTTGGTAAGTAACTTAACTTAATTTTTTATTATTTTGTATAAATTTCGGTCGTTGTTTAATATTTTCAAATCAGAAAATATTTTAGCAAATTTTTACTATTACACACCTGGGGAGGAATAAAAACTGATATTTTAAGGAAGAATTAGTAATAATGGAATATATTTGCAATTAATACATGACACATTACTGTATATCCTATTTTATAGATTGTCGTAGCTTGCTTAGCAGCCGCAGCCAATGCTGGCATCATCTTGGGACATCATGGTCATGAAGATGGTCAATGGCATGGAGAGGGACTATGGGAAGGTCAATACCACGGCGATCATAAAGCTCACGGAATAATTACAACTCATGAACATGAACACGGTCATGCTACTACCATTGTTCATCCAGTACATCATGCTATTGCTCACCACGATTTAGCTCACCATGGTGCCATCCACCACGGCGCAATCCATGAAGTTGTCCACCACGGTGCCATCCACCATGGCTTGGCTCACCACGATGCCATCCACCACGGTTTAGATCACCACGGTGCTATCCACCATGAATTAGCTCACCATGGTTCTATCCATGAATTGGCTCACCACGGTGTCATCCACCATGGCTTGGCTCACCACGATGCCATCCACCACGGTGCTATCCACCATGAGTTAGCTCACCATGGTTCTATCCATGAATTGGCCCACCACGGTGCCATCCACCATGGCTTGGCTCACCACGATGCCATCCACCACGGTTTAGATCACCACGGTGCTATCCACCATGAATTAGCTCACCATGGTTCTATCCATGAATTGGCTCACCACGGTGTCATCCACCATGGCTTGGCTCACCACGATGCCATCCACCACGGTGCTATCCACCATGAGTTAGCTCACCATGGTTCTATCCATGAATTGGCCCACCACGGTGCCATCCACCATGGCTTGGCTCACCACGATGCCATCCACCACGGTTTAGATCACCACGGTGCTATCCACCATGAATTAGCTCATCATGGTTCTATCCATGAATTGGCTCACCACGGTGCCATTCACCACACTGCTCACCATGAAGTGCCCCTGGTTCACAAGTTGGTCCTCATTGCTCCAGCTGTCTCTCACTCTACCCACTACGTTCCCCATCATGATTCCCATCTTCATCATCATCATTAGGGTCTACGATGAAATGGCTGACTGTTCAACCCACTGTTTTAAAACTGCGGACGATGGCTGCATCGAAACTATGTTTCAATCACAACAGTGGCAATACTTTAATACATATTATCTGTGCACAGTAATTTGATCAATTCATTGTATATTTTTTTGTAAATAAAGCATCTGAAAAGGAAGCGATTGCTAATGTTTGTTAATTAAGATTACTCAAAACTGGAAATGTTGTTCGTGCTTTCAAGATTGCCTAAACTGAGTACCTCGAAGCTCGAAATGAAAAAACGTATTGATTATAAAGAATCACTCTATTGATTTTGATCACCGAAACCAATAGAGAACCTCCCGTTGGCTTAGAGTCTTGAAATTTGGCATTTTACACTCATTTTCTGTCTTAAATATTGTCATTACACTTATTACCCTCCTGTCCTGCCAGTCCCTCCATATCTCCTTCATACTCACCGCATGCCTAGACCTCTATATATTTTTTAAATACTCTCCTCTTATTATTTCCCTGCATCAATTTCTCACTAATTCCCCTTTTGTCCGTTCCTTAAACCACCCCCGCATCTGCTCCTGTTTAATTTTTAAAATTCTTCTTTTGATCCCTATTTCGATTACCTTTTTTCTCCATATTTTCTTCTTTATATCTCCTTCCTCCCGCCTCTCCAACCTCCTTATATTTTTTGCTACCCTTTTCATTATTGCTGTTGAGTATTGCCAGTAATAATACACACTGATATTAGCCAAGATAATAAAAGAAAATATATTTAATGAAACATGTACTGTTGAACAGAAGGCAGATCTAGAACTAACTTTTAAAGCAATATTTTATTCGCTGCATTCCACTGCTGCCGCCTTGCGAACCTGCTTATTAGACAAAACATCCGGTATGGAACAGAAAGCGATAACACAATAAAGGTGTCTAAAAGTTAACACAAACAGATATTCATATTGTACATGTAAAGTTTTCTTTGTTAATTAACTTTAACAATTGCTTCCTCCTACATCTTCCCATTTTTCGATTCTCTTCTTGTCACTTAATCTGGCGTACTTCATTCCAATTTTAATATCCACTTTATATACCTTTTCTGTAACAATTCTGCCTGCTTTTTTCCACCCAACCCGATATTTCCATCCCATAAACCTTAAATAACATAAACCCCGTAAACTTCCCAATATTGCCCACCCTTTTGCTACCTCATGCCTCATCCCTATTATTGTCACTTAATATATACCCTAGGTAAACAAACTTCCTCACCTTGTCTCTCAATTCGTCCAACATTTTCCCATTCACCTTCACTACTACCGCTATCTCCCTATATATTTCATTATTGTTTTTATTAAGCCCCTCTCTATCCCCAATTTCTTAAATATTCATCATTTCCTTTCGTTCCACTTTCGGGATCGTAGCGCAGCGTGAATAAAAATGATCTGGGCCGGTAGCAAAATGAAAGAAAATAAAACGGCGGCAAAGTCTTTGGAACGTATATTTACAGAAGCGATAACTGGTCGCATGGACGGTCTAGTACCAAGTAAAAACTTACATCTAAATTACTATACTATACACCAAGTTAACCCCCTGCGCGTCTCTTTCCCTCTGGTATGAGACGACCAAAAAGAACCGGATGAATGTAATAAAAATTAGAAAGTTATCTCTGCTAAAACGCATTTTGCTAGAAAACTATTTGTTACCCTTNAGAGCGAATATGAAGATAGGAGGCGAGAGATTAGAAATCAGATAAGTCAGAACGGAAGGAGTGGTAGAAATATAAAGCAGAGAATAGCGCAGGGTCGAGTCGCCTTCAGTAAAAAGAAGTTACTTCTATGCTCGCGAAGGATTAATTTAGAAATTCGAAAAAGATTGTTAACGGTGTTTGTTTTGAGCGCGGCGCTGTACGGGTGCGAAACATGGACAGTAGGCGCTACGGAAAAGAAAAGGTTAGAAGCGTTGGAAATGTGGTGTTACAGGCGAATGATGAGAATACCGTGGAAAGAGAAGGTTAGCAATTAAGAGGTATTAGAAAGAATAGGAGAACAGAGGACCGTATGGAAGTCAATAAGAAATAGGCAGGAAAGGTTAGTAGGATACCTTCTCAGGCATAATGGTCTAGTCAAGGACATATTAGAGGCAGAAACAGGAGTTAAGAGTAGACCTAGATTAAATTACTATTGCAAATAGTTAAGGATGTGCGATGTTCTAGGTTGAGGGAAATACGAAGATTAGCTCAGGATAGGAAAGAGTGGAGGTGCGTGTCCAACCAGTCCTAGGACTGACGACCTTGTGAGATGATGATGGGCATTTTAAAGTCTAATGGTATTCAATAAAGCAGTTTACAAAACAGGTTAATACTGACATGAGAATAGAAAAGCACAATAATTTTTCCAGAAAATCGATGACCAAAATGTTAACGATTGTATTCCAATATTTCTAATTTCTCTATGTATTAAAAATTCATGCAACTATTACAATTAACCTTTAATTAAGTAAGCATTGAAGACATACCATAATGACCGGGAGGTTTTGGAGCAAATCCTAAATCGCCTTTATTTAAGACCCCAGTTTCCCCACTGTAAGTGTCTGGATCGACGTAGTAGGTTGTTTTCGCGCAAATAAATGCAGTGCAAAAAACTAAGAGAAGTGCGATCTAAAATATGGCAAACAGAAAAGTTATAGTATGCATTATTAAACTAATTTTAAGTGTTTTATTTTATAATAATGTTAAAATCAGAGCCAAAGTTAAGAGACTCATATTTTATTTAATCGAAAACCAATTACTTTTTAATTGATTCCAATTAAATATTAACACTTTAATTTTCCATGATTAAGCCCAAAAGCAATAGGCTAACCGTTGAACCTTATTTTCCATTAAATAAAATATTCAACCCCCAACCTTATCTGGTAACTAAAGGGACAAAATGAAAACAATATTCTTTTATAATGTTTATGTGAATTACAAACTACCCGTTTTGTTTAGAGTCACTAAAAATACAATTCGATTTATTATTTTCATTAAAATAATAAAGAAAATGAAAGTATATATATATACCCAGTTACAGCAGTGCCCTTGGGTGTAATAAAAACATGAAATTAAAATTATAAAACATTTAAACAAGTCTATTTAAAATAACCTCAGTATACCGGACTCCCCGAATACTAATTAGGTTTAAGATTACAAACAATATCAATTACACATGGGTTTAATGAATTAACCCTAGAATCGACCACTCTCGACATTCCTCCTCATTTCTAGCCTTCTTTATACACAGTATCCTCATAATTCGCCCGTAACATTAACCTTTTCTTTTACACTACGCCCACCGTCTTCGTTTCTCACCTGTACAGAGACGTGCTCCAAACATATACTTTTATCAAACTTCCTGTATACCGAAAATCAGCCGCTTCTTCTAATTATTCATCTCTTATCTTTACATTCACTCTTCCCTTAGTTTTTCTTCCATTGCGTACCAATATTTTTGCTTTACTTTTATGTATTTTCATACAATATTGTTTTGTCAATACCGCTTTCATTAACAGATAATATAATTTTACCCATTATAATAATTCTGACAGTTAATTCAAAATTCAATTCTCCTACTAAATTACTCATTAGGTCTACTTGTGGTATACAGATTACATGTTGTTAATTAAGTATAAATATTGTTTACAAAATAATACCCAGCCCTTTTTCCATCCAAATTATTTTCATTAAATTTAAAAAGAACAGTAAGTCTCCTATTGGTTTATTTCAAATAAATACAGACTGATTACATACCTACACATATTCATAAATAAATAATTTACTACATAAAAAATGAGGATGTATACGTAGGTATTATATCAATTTAATTACGGTATTATAAAAACTTCAAAGCAGATTAATATTTAATACTCTTTTCAGTTTTGTTTCCGTCCATATTTTGTGACATGCTACAAGCACTATTTATTGAATAATTTATTTATCACACGTGACATACATGCATCTAATCCGTCTAATAATAAGCACTGTGGGAAACTCCATCGTAAGCGGATTCTTCTATTGGGGTTGCATCCCTGGGAGGCGTGTAATCAGAAACACCATCTACAAAATCATCACAATAAATTCGGCAAAAATTCGGTCATGGATTTTCTAAAAAAAATCTTGGGCCGGTGAGGTTTTATTTTTTTATTGGTATTTAAAGAAGTTAATATTAGGAAGAGAGTCAGACAAAGGAAGAAGAAGTAGAGAAAGAGCGAATATGAAGATAGGAGGCGAGAGATTAGAAATCAGATAAGTCAGAACGGAAGGAGTGGTAGAAATATAAAGCAGAGAATAGCGCAGGGTCGAGTCGCCTTCAGTAAAAAGAAGTTACTTCTATGCTCGCGAAGGATTAATTTAGAAATTCGAAAAAGATTGTTAACGGTGTTTGTTTTGAGCGCGGCGCTGTACGGGTGCGAAACATGGACAGTAGGCGCTACGGAAAAGAAAAGGTTAGAAGCGTTGGAAATGTGGTGTTACAGGCGAATGATGAGAATACCGTGGAAAGAGAAGGTTAGCAATTAAGAGGTATTAGAAAGAATAGGAGAACAGAGGACCGTATGGAAGTCAATAAGAAATAGGCAGGAAAGGTTAGTAGGATACCTTCTCAGGCATAATGGTCTAGTCAAGGACATATTAGAGGCAGAAACAGGAGTTAAGAGTAGACCTAGATTAAATTACTATTGCAAATAGTTAAGGATGTGCGATGTTCTAGGTTGAGGGAAATACGAAGATTAGCTCAGGATAGGAAAGAGTGGAGGTGCGTGTCCAACCAGTCCTAGGACTGACGACCTTGTGAGATGATGATGGGCATTTTAAAGTCTAATGGTATTCAATAAAGCAGTTTACAAAACAGGTTAATACTGACATGAGAATAGAAAAGCACAATAATTTTTCCAGAAAATCGATGACCAAAATGTTAACGATTGTATTCCAATATTTCTAATTTCTCTATGTATTAAAAATTCATGCAACTATTACAATTAACCTTTAATTAAGTAAGCATTGAAGACATACCATAATGACCGGGAGGTTTTGGAGCAAATCCTAAATCGCCTTTATTTAAGACCCCAGTTTCCCCACTGTAAGTGTCTGGATCGACGTAGTAGGTTGTTTTCGCGCAAATAAATGCAGTGCAAAAAACTAAGAGAAGTGCGATCTAAAATATGGCAAACAGAAAAGTTATAGTATGCATTATTAAACTAATTTTAAGTGTTTTATTTTATAATAATGTTAAAATCAGAGCCAAAGTTAAGAGACTCATATTTTATTTAATCGAAAACCAATTACTTTTTAATTGATTCCAATTAAATATTAACACTTTAATTTTCCATGATTAAGCCCAAAAGCAATAGGCTAACCGTTGAACCTTATTTTCCATTAAATAAAATATTCAACCCCCAACCTTATCTGGTAACTAAAGGGACAAAATGAAAACAATATTCTTTTATAATGTTTATGTGAATTACAAACTACCCGTTTTGTTTAGAGTCACTAAAAATACAATTCGATTTATTATTTTCATTAAAATAATAAAGAAAATGAAAGTATATATATATACCCAGTTACAGCAGTGCCCTTGGGTGTAATAAAAACATGAAATTAAAATTATAAAACATTTAAACAAGTCTATTTAAAATAACCTCAGTATACCGGACTCCCCGAATACTAATTAGGTTTAAGATTACAAACAATATCAATTACACATAGGTTTAATGAATTAACCCTAGAATCGACCACTCTCGACTAGTCGAAAACCTTTTTCCCTACAAATATGTAACTGTTCTCATCACAAGTTCTGACGAAAACCCAAAACGAAGGAGCCGCAGCATTAATAAAAAATAAAACAAATTGACGAATATTACATATATGAGGGCCTGATTGATAAACAATGACTATTACAAAGTACAACAATATAAGTATTGTAATCGATATTTCTATACGTACACATTAGTTTACGCTATCGCTATGGTAAATGCCTACTTAAATTTTTAATTATTATTTAATGGTTGCGTAGGTACAACTTACTTTGACTATCATTCTGACTGAATACATTGTGGGTCAAATCGTAACTAACAAATGTACTGAATATACTGAAATTTTTGACTGTTAAATATAATTTTTTTGACCTTCAGAAGGTACAAGTGTATGTAGTAATTATTACGAAATTACGCATAACTTTTCTTTGATGTAATACGTACCTATTACCACTTCCTTGATGTTCAGCAATAAGATCTACTTCCGGATATAAACGCTTGATCGAATTATTCCATAAAAAAAGAGACAATATATCTCGCTTTTTCCTGTTACCAATCCCAACAAAATCTGTGCCTACGTGATTTTTAAGAAGTTAATACCGAACCCAGTCATCACGTAAGACAGTTGCCTTGCTCTTACAGCAACTCTTTAAATTACTAAAATATCGAAATAATTCCTCGACAAGCATTAAAATATTTTTATTTGCTTTATTTTAATTAAGAGTTTTTTTATTTAAACTTCAATTTAATAAGTCCTTACAGAAACCCTTAAAAATTGTAGTAAAAAGAGTTCGTATATTTTACAATTTCCTTTAAGCTTGTTATGGTTTTATGTAAAGTTTAGAGATAAATTTAGGGATCTTAAACAAAAAAAGAAAGGTAGGGGTCAGACTACTTTTATCATACCCATTTCTCCTGAAAACGTCGAAATGTCAACGTTATAAAAACCATTTTGAAGCAATTGTACATAAAACATACAAACATACAAGCATACAATGATAAATTTCGCACTGTAATAACCAGTACAAACTTTTACCAGCAACTACTATCCGTTTAAAAATATATATTTATAAAAGACTTCGTTGAACCGTTTATTACGTAACTTGTCTCATGATTCATTCATGCTGACAATGAGTCTTTCTCTATAGTTTTGTCATATTTTAGTAAACGTGACATTATACTCAGATAAAAAATGCAGCAAATAGCGGCTGTTGATGAAAACTGCAAAAGAATTCAGAGTTACTTCATATTGAAACTAAAATCTGGTTCATAATATAATCAGTTTATAAAGATAATTTTTTTCCATCACGTTACCACAGTTGAAAAGTTTAATCGATTAAAAAGGACCGAAACTTTCAGAAAATGCTCAATGAACCTTCCACCAGATTCACTGATTGAGTAGTTGAACAGGTATGTTATTTATTCGTCAATAATTGTCGTTTAACAATACCTTATGTAACTTAATCTTTTACTTATTTCACTTGATCGCACGGGATATATTTGATTAATTTTAACGTCCAAATTTAGGAAGTCAGATATACTTCTTTTACTTTCTGTAGCAATGTGACCTTCAGTTTAACCGGCGCAAAGTAGAAAAGAACAGCACTAGGCCAGAAAAGGAAGGAGACAACTCTCGGCCAAACTCTTAACCGGTGAGGAGCGTATAATCCGTACAGTACTGCACGGAAAAATTGACCATTTTANATAATTGTCGTTTAACAATACCTTATGTAACTTAATCTTTTACTTATTTCACTTGATCGCACGGGATATATTTGATTAATTTTAACGTCCAAATTTAGGAAGTCAGATATACTTCTTTTACTTTCTGTAGCAATGTGACCTTCAGTTTAACCGGCGCAAAGTAGAAAAGAACAGCACTAGGCCAGAAAAGGAAGGAGACAACTCTCGGCCAAACTCTTAACCGGTGAGGAGCGTATAATCCGTACAGTACTGCACGGAAAAACTTGACCATTTTATCCACTAAAATTGCATTGCTCAAGTGTACTGTTATTGGTACCATTTACTACTGAAAATATCAACGAGATGTTTATTTGTATTTGAAGACATATTAAAGGCTTTAACGCTTGTTTTCGACTCGCACTACTATTCATGATTGAACAAAACTTTTGACAGGTAGTGTATGAAAAGGTATGTTTAATGAACAAGAGTCGAGAGTATAATGAGCTTTTTTCTCCCTACCTACGATTTTGCCAGCGCGCATCCAAGACATTGGAAGGGGCAAATCGCTAGAGAAAGTAAATGAAGTATAACTCAGGATATAACATAAGAAATAGCGCGAGGTCGGATGGCTTTTAACAAACTTTTACGCTTGCGATCGAAAAGCGTACTGCTGGACCAGTGAGACTTGGCCCTTTAGATTGTAATGCCTAAAGATGCGCATTGGAAGATGGCTATTCTGTGTTAAGGTAAATCATTTATGTTCAGCTCTTCTTTGAGCTAAGAACTTGGCTTACACCAACTGGCCCGACTATAATTTTCATAATCAATATAGTGGACGACTAAATAAACAGAATAAAAACACATAAAGTTAGAGTAAATAATGTGTTCCCATTGACCAACCTCTTGTGCGAGCGATACCCTTTTCTAATTGAACGCGGTTCTTGTTAATCATCTGAGCAGCAAGTGAGAAAGTCAGGGGCCACCTCTCGATGGTTCAAATGTTACAAATTGTTAGAAATGATGAAGTATTAGAAAGAGTAGGAGAGTAGAGAACGTTATGGAAATAAATGATAAGATAACTTCACAATCATGAAGGGTAGACTAGTTAAGGGTATATTAAAAGCAGAAACAGGAGTTAAAAGGGGCAGAGGTAAACCTAGGTTAGATTACTATTATTAATTAGTCACAGGTGTAGATAAATGCGATGATTGACTCGAGGTATGAAGAAAAGCGGGATGAAAACCTTTTGATAATGATCTATTTAAAACATGACTGATTTTTGAAATCACAAGAAATGGAAACTTATTAAGGTCTCACCCAAAAGTGGTGGTGACTCGGAATCAATGGATTCCTATCTCCATAACCAATCTACTATTGCAAATGAACTTTATAATTGATGAGAAAATAAAAATGTTTGTAGTTGAGCATATTTCAAAATGCTATAGATTTTGATATTATTTAGTTGTCTTGATCAACAAAACAAGAAAAAAGTACAGAGAACATTGCACTTATCTCATGATAAGATCTTTTCTTTAACAAAACATACCTGACTTATATTACTAAATAAGTCAGTATGAAGCTAAGAAAAACTCATTTTCTTTTAATGACGATTACCGACTACATTTTTAATTTTCAAGTCAATTGAAAGGAATAACAAAATGTTAAAAAACAAAACATGAAATTTTATATTTCTGCCCAAAATCCGCATGATACATGGAATGATCTTACATTCGTTCATCACCACTACTGCTAAATTTTTAAAAACATTTTTATGATTTACCTGCCTTTTATATGTGTAATTTTTTATTAAAATAATGTAATAATACCAAGTGCCTTAGAAAATCATTTTTTGTTAAATGAATGGATTTATTTAAAAATNGTATAATTAAAAAATATAACCTATTATTATTTTAAGGCTGACTGTAATTCAACTAGATTCGTATTCATTTTTTACAGTAATACGCCACTCTCATCGAAATCATATTTTGCAATATTATGTAATTACATTGTTAAGTCTTTTAAAAAACTATTTCGTTAATTACATAATGGCATTAGTAATTATCGTTTAAAAACAAGCGTTTGTCGGAACCAGTGAAACATTCACTAATTAATGCGAAACAAGTGGATATTTAAAACATCAAAGGTAACCTAACAACTTACCACTTACTGAGACTTACTTACATAAATTAGTTATAAATAAGTGTTTCGATTTGGTGCGTAAACTTTCTCACCAATCTCTTAAAATTTTGTATAGTAAAGGGCAGTGTCATTTCACTACCTGTAGCTATTAATATTGTACTCGGTAACAGTTCCTTCATTAATTAGTTTTGTAATAAGTAACTAATTGATGAATATATCAATTAGTGTCCATTATCAACCTAAGATATCAATATTCAATATCAGTACTACTAAATTAATATATAATTAACACTAGAATGTAACGTGCATACCATATAAAGTAAAAAAATAAATGTTTTTTTTTGTTTTTGTTAGGATGCTAGAAAAACACTCAATTCAATCCAAGCATGTATGATTGTTTTTTGTTTCCAAGCAGATCCAATTAAATTTATACATATTCCTATTAAATATTTTAATTTACCTAATTGTTAAATAAATATTTTATGTGCAGTATTATTTATTTGTTTAATGGATCTACGAAGAAAATTGAAGAAGGAATTTTGGAGACAATTTTCCGAGCATCAATGTGTTACAGATATACTTACGTTAAATATACAACAGTTAATAACGGTTTTCTTTTATTTCAGATTAATAATAATGTACTTGAACCTTCAGCAAGAAGATGGCATGGAAATTTCCAAAATATAGGTTTGTGGACTCCGGGATTGGTATCTACAGATAGTGAATGGGACACAATTAGGTAAGGTAAGTTTCTTAGGTATTGTGAACAAAGTTATTCATAAAGTAAAATAAAATCTTTTTGAAAATTACCTTTATGGTAAAGATGAAGCAAGCCTATTTCATTATATCTGTTTCAAACTAATGGAGATAAAGCTAAAATGCGAGTGTAAAACAGTGGCGTAACTAGGTAACCACGGGCTCTGGGGCAAATAAAAAAATGGGACCCCACTGCTATCTAAATTAGTTAGGTTTTATCAAGTAAAAATATTAAATATACAAATACTTTAAAAATTCTAAGCTACTTTATCATCAGTTCTTTTTCATGCACCGCAGAGCAGCTAATAAAAATATTAAACAGTAATAACATAAATCACAATTAATACTTGGTGTAGGTATTGGGGAATAAAATGAAATAGAAAAGATTCAAGGGTTTACTATATAAAGGTCGGATCTACCAACTGACTAAATAACAATTATATTTACAATCTTTTCCTATCTTTAGTTTTCGCAAAAGTATCAATCATTTTGGTTAAATCCAGGCTAGATGTGGTTTTGTTTTCAATTACTATTAGCGATAAATGTCGGAATCGAGTTTGCCCCATACTATTTCTTAAATAAATTTTGACGTGACAACGTCTTATATTTCGATGGAGCCGGCTGCACGCACGAAAAAAACATGACTCATGCGGCGTTACCTCGCTCTGAGGCGTTCCATGTAAGTCTTGAAGTGCAAGCGAGAGCGCGGAACGAGCAACAAAGAGGCACAATCGACCTCAGTGTTCGGCAGCGTTCGACATCTGTCTCTCTCCTACTTGAGTGAGCGATGCGTCCGCGTGGACAGCTGCTATACAATAATACATTTCCATTTACCTCCTTCTCTATATCCATACAAAATATCTATCAAACAAATAAAATCTTTTGAAAATTGAAACCATTCCATCAGTATTTTCTTATGACGTTGTCACGTTCAACTATCGTCAGTAAACCGACTTTACAGACAACCGATTTTTTATTGTAATTTGCTAAAAGACCATTCAGCTGCTGCAGAAATGACAGGAATTGTAAAGAATAATAACATCGATGAATAATAAAACGCACATATCGCTATCCGTCAAATTGACAAGACTGCTAATCAACAGAAAGAATTTAGGAGAATTCCCTAGGTATAACTTTCGAATTTCTCCCAATTGAGTTGCCATGATTAAAGTTGACTTGCAGCCTGTCATATTTATTTTGAAAATGGGAGAAATTTTCAAAAGTTCAGTTCGATCGAGATTTTCTGGTAAGGATTCGAGGGCCCCCTGAGCTTGAGGGCCCAGTGGCATTGCCCCGCCTAGCCCCTAGGTAGCTACGCCACTGTTGTATTCCTAAAATAAAAATAAATAGGCGTATCAATTCAGATATTAGTTTAAGCAGTACAGTGGAATCTCATGAATGAAAATACTTCAGAGATATCAATGAGAACAAATACAAAACCCGCAAACTTTTTCGACGTTATGGTTTTAAGCAGCGAAGCAGAAAACTTATTGTAATTCCTAAAAATCCGAAAATATAATTTTCAAAGTTGGCAACCCTGACTGTGACAGACATGCAATCCAATAAATGAACTGATAGACAGACCCCCCGCTGTATTAATTTTGACTTGGTCTGTGTCCAAAACATTGAACCACGGTCCAATTCGTATACTTCAAATTTAAATTTTACTCCGGAGTCATACAGAAATGCGACAGATATATCAAAAACACTCACACGTATGGGTTACATTTGGTAACTAATCTGGTTCGTGAGAGGAATTTTTCTCCACGATATCCTGTCACATCCTTCAAAATAAGTCCTCTGAGTACTGTCAGGTCATAATATTAATTTCCCTTCGAGTCTATCTTATTACAACTGGATCTTCTGTAATGAAAGACAAACAGAAGGGAAAATGAAGTGTCACTCTTTCAGCGCCGTTTGGCTTGGTACATTTTAGGCGTTGCAAAATAATTAAAGTACAATAGCACCGTTAGTTTGTTAATTAAACGAAAATTATACTTGGAATGCAGCAATGTGTTTGTTTCTGTAGTTAAACGGTTGAAAAACGCATTATAAAATAACAATTTAGAACAATAACGTATCTATAGATTGTACTTAAGCTTTCAAGTTTATGAAAACTTTAAGCCAAAATTGTCTATTACAATAATGGCGATCGCAAACAGAAACGCTTGGTGCGTAGCACACCTTACATTTCTTAGTCAGAATATCCCCTTTGGCATACATGTTGACTAGGGTTTATACAAAAACCGACATTTTAGAAAACCGGTTTTCGAATAGTAATTTTTCTAGAAAATCGGTTTTAACCGGTTTCGAATTTTTATAAAAAAATTTTTTGCTCGAATATTCTATAATTCTATAATTATTTTAACAGAAAATTTAGAGTGATTAAAAGCAGTTTTTGACTGAAATTATTTACTGTTCAATTTTATTGATAGTAAATTTTTTTTATGCAATTTAGTAGAACAAAGAAATAATAGTTGACCAGGATTAAATAACTTTAAAAACAATTATTCGTTGTTTATGCATAATTTTCACATATAAGGATGTAAATATTTTTATAATAGTGAAACGAGTTATTCAGCAAAGGGTTCGAATAAATAAAAACAATATATTTTCATATTTTTATAATAACCATATTATTTTTTTAAAAAACAATGTTATTAGATACAGATGGATACTTATTAAAAACAATTAGAAAATATATAACTGTGTATTATATAATGTAAATTATAATCAAAGCCGAAAGACAAGAGTAAATAAAGTTTATGCATACATACTTATTAAAATCAATTTTAGTTTTAAAGACAATTAAGCAAAGGGCCGAGTATTTTCTATTCCGGGCAATTTTAATAAAAATTTAAATATTCTATTTATTTTTTTATTTAATGAAATATGATTTCAGAAAACAGAGGACGTCTATAGATTTGCTATTTAGTCGTGTCCTTCGTTTATTCACAAAATTCCCCGAAATAGAAAATACCCTCTCACTTGCGACCGAACTAGGCTTAATCGTTTTTAAAGCCTGATATAATAATTCTAAATTTTTGTCCTTTTTTTTTCTTCCGGTTCCTTTAAATAAAAACCATCAAACTGATATAAAATCTAAATTAATTCATCCAATAGACAAAACACACCGTTTATATCGGTCCGATATGATTCCAAGAACCAAACCGCTTGCAACAGTGTTTTCATCGGTCTGGTACATTTGGCTACATTTGTCATTTTCAAAATTTTTTTAAGTGTTATTCATACATTTAAAACCGATATTTTCTACTAAAAAACCGGTTTTCGAATTTCATAATTTTCTCCAAAAAACTGGTTTTAAAAACCAACAAACCCTAATGTTAACGCTAATCCGAGAGATGCACTTACAATACATTCAGTCTTCACACTACGAACACATTATATGTATGTACGTTTGGTTCAACCGACTTTTCCTTTTTATCTTTGTTGCACTGTAATTCTTCTTGCGATCATCCATTCTCTGTATCAAACACGTTTGGCATTTGATTTTTTTTAGTTACTCTTTGTATTCTTTGATTTCATCGCTATTCTATTTTCCGTCTTCTAATTCTTTTCAACGAAATTTGCGGATAAAAGTACAGAACTCATCGAAAATTCTAACCCAATATCTACTTCATTGTCATTCGTTGTATGAATAAATCTAAACTAATAATTAAGGACTCTGGCGCTATATTGATCATTCTAACTCTCCGGTGTATCGATATTCTTGGGAGTATATGTTCACCTTATCTTATACATACATATAAAAATTAATTTTTCTTTGTTTCTTTTTTAAATTTCGATATTATTTAATTTAGAAACCTTGCTTGGGGGAAAGGCATAATAATTTACCAAAATTGTATGAATGGTATGGGATAGCATACGGCACAAAGAAACAAGGATCATGTTACAATAAAGCTAAACGCTCATACACGTTTTACAAAACGCCCAGTCGTATGACAAAACGTCTGAATATGTTAGGCATAATGTAAAATTTCACTAATTTGTACATATTAAAATATCCTCTAAAAGCTTTAAGATTTTATGAAGCGCGTAGTTTTACTATAGGTAGTTAGAATGACAATGCACTTTCTAGTACCTGGTAGTATTGCATTTTTACAGTAGTATTTCAATTGTGAAACACGTTAATCGTACCACTTACTTGCAAACAAACTGAAAAATTCGTTTTAATGCTACTCAGTATGACCAGTAGCCTTGTTGACCTTAAGGCTATTTTCAAGTACACCACAACTTCTGAATGTTACGTAATTAGGCTGTCTGCATTTAAATGTATTACATAAATTACCCACGAAAGCATAACAAACTCTATTATTTCTTATTTCTCTTTATGCAATAGTGTAGATACGTATTAACAAAAACAAGGTTAAATTTTTTGTAAAAATCACTGCCTGGATATCTACGTGGGTATTGTTAATTTAATTAAATTATTTCGATATAAAGACAAAATAGGTAGGTTTACTTTTTTATTAAAACTAATTAAAATGGGTTTTCGAGGTACCTTATACGTATATTCAAAGTTTATATTAAGTATTAACTTATCAAATTATCGACACGGTGGGGTTTCATCTAACTATTTCCCTCAAAAGTTTTTTTTACTTTTCATTAATAGCAAATTGAGTAGGTATTGCCTTTATTTAAAAAATTGAGAATATGTGCCAATAACATTCACCTCCTGAGGGTTCCGAATTGTCATAAAGCCTTCTAGAGCTTATTTAGAATTACATGAACCTTGAACTTAGGTTGCACAATACACAGTAGTAAAATTCAACTCATTCGTTGTTTTCTACATTTCTACCTTCTAAAAACATTGGGCGTCAATGTTTACAGTTTATATGAATCTCCATCCCTGCTTTCAGCTATAGTTGATACGTTTAAAATTGGCATAGTCCGCAATAAAACTGTCGCATTTACTTTCTTGCTTTCTTCTTCCAACTTACTAACTAGACTAGAACGGTTGCTGACAG